TTAAGGGTTTAGGGTGTAGGGGTTTAGGGTTCAGGGTTTAGGGTTTAAGGGTTTAGGGTTCAGGGTTTACTTGGAGGGCCAGGGGGACTTAGTAAGTAGGTTAAGAATGGGGATAATTAGGGTTACTATATGGGTTATAGGGGTTCTTAACCTACTAAGTCCCCCCGACCCTCCAAGTAGGGTTCGCGGGTTTAGGGGTTAGGGGTTTACGGTTTAGGGTTGAGGGCTTAGATGCCCAATTATAAAGGTCATACAGGGTGTATTTGCATGATATGTAGGTAGGTTTAAAGGGGTTATGTGGTGCTATATAGCGGTTCATAGGGTTTATGGTCATTATATGCCAAAGCAATACTTATAGGCCAACTTCAATACCCCTCACTCCCCTTACTTGGCTATAGTTGGGTAATAATTACACTGAATTTCCAGGAGCTAAAGGCGACTGACCTTAGCAGAGACCATGCCTAGTAAAATGGTGCACCCCGTTGTGTAGAATGTTTTGTTATCCTTGTCCACCATAAGGGTTGCCTCCACACGCCCAAATTGGCGCTTGTCAAGTGGGAGTTTCTCAGACTCATCGGTCAGTAAACAAACCCTCAAATGCCCTAAACAAACCCCACAGTACTTGGCTTCATTTTTTCCGTGAGCCCCCTGTGGTGAAGCGTTTGGTGGCCAGACGTGGCCTTCATGCTTAGAGTTCATGCTTGAGGCCTGCTGCTTGAACCTAAGCAGTAATGGAACTGAGGAGGCTTGGATGTTGCTGCGATTGCTTGGAGTTTAGTTGTCAGCGGTTTCGCCAGAGATCACACAGCAGACGCCCACGGCCTCTGAGTAGCAATGGAAGGCCTGATCCAAGTGCAGGTGCACCTTCTTCGCTTCGCTTCGCTTCCACTTAGCGGTTAGGTCTGATGTCAGATGGTAAGACGTCCTTCCGCTGTAGTGTTCACAGCCTTCTAGACTGCGCACGCTAGCACTGAGGCTGGCGCGAACAAGCAACCTACAATCAAATGCTAACCCTGCAACCCCTCCATTGATGAGGGGGCTAGGCCGGAAGGGGCGATCCCTCCACATGGCACTGCTTCAGCAGATGCCTGCACATTGCAAAGAGAAAATTAAAAAACTGCACATTTACTCAGTTGACTCTTGAACCATCAGACTTCTTACGAGAGGCCCAGGCGGTGCGAGATCTTTACACTCAACTTTCAGCTCCGTTGCTGATTTCTGAATCCACTCAGCTGCCTCCTTCCACGCCTCCACAGCTGAAAGTTGGGGCCTGATCTTAAGAAGTGTACGGCCATCACGCACTGGCTTGATGAAGGCTAGCTGGATACTCTGATGCAAGTCCTCAAGAGCAGACATTGGCTCATGCAGTGTTGCGAACTTCGGCATGGCCTGTTTCCTGTCTGGATCTTGCAGTAACCATTTGGCGAAGGCCGCTGCTACGGTAAGTCGCGCTGGTCCCTGCGGATGAGGTTGCCCCTTCTGGGGAAGGTTCTGCTTCCATTGCTCCATGTGATCCGCTAGCAATTTCGCCACCTCGCTCTCCTTGTGGAACAGCCAAGTGTGAGTGGACCACGCCTCCAGCTCTCGTAGACTGCGATCGTGGCTGCCGATGATTTGGCAAACCTTGCGGAGTTGTTGAGTTAGCTCCTGAACTTGACGCTCTGTTGAGTTGTTCGTCGAGACCCTGGGGTTCTCGTTCTCTTCTGCGGTCTGTTCGCGGGGCTGGAGGCCGGCTGCTGAAGAAAGTCCAGCGGCATTGCGGTTGATGAAGAAGTGCGCTATAGTCCTCTGAGGTGCTTCTACCCTGGGAGGTACTTGTGAAGCAGCTTGAGCCTGTGCAGCAGCTTTGGCACGAGCAATTCGTTGTCCTTCAATGGCTCCAGCATGCCCATGGTTGTTGACAGGTCTATAACACGAATTGTTCTGAACATGTCGACGAGCCACGCTTTTTGAAGTGAACTGTCTGCCGCAAATTTGGCAGACTGTGGCCTGAATCGGATTGCAAAAGTTATGCTTTCGGACCTGATGCGTCTTCAGTGCCCGAGTCGATTGCCAAGGCCCAGCCCCACAGTCCGGGCATCGGATGATATTAGCCACCAAGGCAAGTTCAGGAATCCCTTCATGCGCAGGAGCTGGGTCATTCGCCGGTTCAGGCTGATCATCAAGGTTGAGATTCCGTTCTGAGTCTGCAGTACGCCATGATGCTTGCCCACGGATTGTTGCAACAGGAACCTGAAGAAAGCGATCTCGCCAGCCTTCACTGAAGCCACGAAATTCAGGAAGGACATACTGAATATCCCGAAACAGTATGTGCAAGAATCTGGGCGCGTGAGCAGAAGGGGCACTCGTGTCCAGCCGCAGAGGGGGTTGAAGCTGCAAGGAAGTGCCAAACAATGCCGCAAGCTCCAGTCTAACTTGCCCACTTCTCTCAGCTAGCAGCGCACCTCGAAGCCACATCAGTCTGCGAACCAGCAACTCTGACGCTATTGTAGAAAGGTTTGCCCTCTGCCGCAAGCTTTCAATTGTCACAGATGTGTGAGTCGGGTCATTTGCAACTGCTCCATAGCCCTGACGCCCGAACAATCGGCGAAGCAACATTCCACGGGCCTTCTCCAGTGTTTGCTCATCAATTCTCGTCAAGGGCCGCACCTCTAAGGCTGAAAGAAGGGCTTCGTTGACCACAGCCTTGAAGACAAGCACCTTGTGTGTTTGCGGTAAGAGGCTGCACTTGAAAAGCTGCGCGAACTTAGCAAAGCCAGCCCTGGCAGACGCTATTCTTTTGCTAATCTCAGTGTGCAAGGACCCATTGGACTGCAAACGAGCTCCCAAGTACTTCACTACCAAACGAGGAGGGTATCCACTCCAGAGTCCAGCATGAGCATCTCGCGCAGCACCATAAGCACCTTTCCCACTGAAGGAAAGAAGGGCTTCACCTTTGTCGTCGTTTAGCCGGGGGTTGCGAGGTAGCAAGAAGGATTTGAGCGATGCCGTTTGCTGCAGTGGCATCGGAAATGCTCTGAAGACTGTGACCGACCTCAATGCGGATAAGATCATCAGCAAACACAGCTATTCCCAGCATATGCAGAGTCCCTCCGTAGTTGACGAGGATCTCCTCATTGCTTTCAATGATGGTTTGTTTCTAGGCCTCTACACAATCATCATAAGCCATTCTGAAGATGCGGGGGCCAGTGCCCCCACCTTGCAGCACGCCAGACTCAAGGTGAACTTGCAACTCGCCACCTAGTTGAAGCGGCAATTGAATACGAAGCCTCCTATGCAAGTCCAGTAACAAGTGTTCCGCTGCTGGTGGCATGCCAGCGTGCCGTATCGATTCTTCGATGCTAGATCTGTTCAAGCTATCAAAGGCTTTAGTCAAATCGAAAAGTGTAGCAGCAGAAAAAAACTTACTAAAGCGAAGTCTGTCAAGCCAGGCCTCCACTTGCAATATTGCGTCTCTTCGTGAACGCTTGCTAGTGAAGCCAAATTGGTGACTGGCCGGCCTGTCGGGGACAAACCCCATCAGTGCCTTGTAGAACATCTTTCCTCCGGCGTCCAGCAAGTTAATGATACGCTGTCCGGTTGGGCCAGATGCACCTCCAGGCTTTGGGATTGGGCAGCCGAAGCCATCACACCACGCCTGAGGGTTGTATCCGATACATTGTATACCCTCGAACATCTGCATCATCGCTTCTGTCGTCCATGAAGAAGAGTTAGCGGTGATGGATCGCTTCTGCGTGACAAGGCACAATAGTTCTGCTGGGACAGCGCCAGGCGGGGTTGCCCGGCATCGAGGCTGCGCAAGTGCAGCTTTTAACAGTGTGGCTTGACCGCTGGCCCCATGCAAGAGCGGCTCGGCCAGTGGCTGTGGTGCAGCTGAGACCACTTCAGCAGTGTGCTTCCGCGCTCCCCACACATGTCGCAAATGTTGCTCCCATTGACTTTGCGTTATGAGCTTCGCCGCTGAAGCAGTTCTGTTGATGACCCTGCACGGCCCATGCCCAGCAATCATTCGAGAGACAGCCCAAGCCTCACGAGAATCACGTAGATCAAGTGCTTGCTGCAGTCTGCCAATCAAGCGCTGATGCCAAGCCTTGTTGTCATTCCTCACTGCTGTCTTGCATGCTCGGTCCATGCGCAAGTGCGCCGTGAGAAGTTGTAGAGACATGAAAAACCACCTCAAAACGTGAAGAGGACCAAGACCATTGCCACTCCACACACTGACATGCTGCAAAACAGTATCCTGCAAATCACGCCGACGGCGCAGCAAGTCGAAAGTTGCAGGGAGGAGCTTCATCGATTTCTGGGTAGGCCGCATTGCAAAATGCTCAACAGCCACGTTGTGCATGACGGTTCGCACCTTTGAGCAGTACATTTCCACATTTGTTGCGTTGCTCAAATCTGCAGCCAACGGCAGGAAGGGCTCCCACGCAATTTGGAGATCGGTCAAAAATCTGTTGGCGACTCCAGGATCTTCCATAGCAACCTGTATGGCATGTTTGTTCCAGCGGGTTCGCGCCGTTCGGGGTGCGAGCAGCTTCCATGGTTGTTGCAATTGCACTGAAACTTCAATGGGCCAGTGGTCTCGTACCAGTGAAAGCTGCCAACGTCGACCAAGAACTTGGTTGACACGGCACTGCTTGATGCGTGTCCGGTAAACCTGCGGCACGGCAATGAAGTCAATGTGCTGCCCGTCTGGCGTCCATGAAGTTGGAGCCCATCCCTGAACAGTGTAAAAGTAAGCCGGCAGATTCGCAGGCCTGGACAAGTGAGTAGCCGTTGTTGTTGGTGTTTGGTTCGCTCATTCGACCCACTGCAGGGCTCCGCATGTCAATCCCAACATGCCCATTGAAATCCCCCAAGACCCAAACCCGAGTACGTCTTGGAACAGAGTGGATCATCTCAAGCAGTGATTGAAAAAACTCCGCGCGTGTGGCCGCATCATCAGTCTCCTGCGGTGCATACGCAGAAATGAAAAGGTCATCAAGCTCATGCCCACGCTCTCTCCCTACAAGTCGAACACCGCCCAGTCGACCGCGAAGATTGCGAGGAGGATCCATTCTTGTATGAACACAAGCTGTTTGAAACAGCTTCTGACTCACAAGGATTTGAACGCCAAGCATGTTATTGTTTGTCGGTCTCCCCCAAGAAAAACACTGATAAAGACAATGCCCATAGATGCCTCGAACAGCCCATTCACTACGCGGTTCAGCTGATTTCCATCGCGTCCCTTGCAAGGCTGCCACTGACACATCAAGAGAATGCATGTCCTCAGCCAATTGTTGCAGTCGCGAGCTTCCCTTGCCAAGTGACTGACAGTTGTATGAGACCAGCTTCAGAATGGGCATCGGAGTAGCGTTACAAGGGGCATCACGGCGTCGGGCAGCAGCGGGCTTGTCCAAATGAACAACGCCATCTTGGCGACGGAGGTGGAAGTGAGCATCTCTCTCAAACCACCAGTGCTTGCGTGCAGCAATTTTATCTCTCACATATGCTATGTCTTGTGCCGGGAAGAAAGCAGCCAGTCGGTTAGCATTGTCAATGAGGTTGCCTCTGTACCAAGCCCAGCCTTGCAGGAAAGACAATCTCAGCGTACGCAGAATGCTTCGCTTTACGGTGATCTGTGCACGGAAGTTTCCGCCCCTGTCATTCCGCGCCTGCATTAAGGCGGTCCAGATTGAGTCCGTGCACTCAATCAACCCTCACCCCACTGATTGCGAGCTTCAATGTCATAGCACCATGCCACGGGCTTGGGACCGTGGCTCCCTTAAGGACAGTCCTAACAGCTCGAGCGGAGAGGGGCTTGCAGGTGCACCAAGTCAAGTGACTATGGTCAAAAAAACGTTACCAAGATTGTTCTACGTCCGACGCCGCTTCAAGTAGGGTTTAGTGCAACCCAAGTTCTCACCCGTTGCCTCCTCATTTAAGAAAGTTGATCTCGCATGTCTTGGGCAGCAGAGTGTACATCCAATGTATTTGTGGTATTCAACACGCGTACGCTTGCCGGACCCAGTGCAAGACCCGCTGTATCGCCTGGCTGTAGCAATCAAACTAGGAAAGTTCCCAGGCTACATAGGCTGATATAGTCTGATATAGGGGTAAGGGGCATTACCTCAGCAATAGAGAATCAAATGGACAAGGCAAAAGAACATCCAATGGAAACAATGGAAACTCTGTATGCTGGGGGTTTATAATATGGACTTGCATGACTTCTCGCCTGAGAGTTGTCACACGTTCTACTATTATATCACAAGCTTCATGGAGTAACGAATCGCTGCACAGCAATTGTTGAATAGGCAAGAGCAAATACGAGAAAGCAACTGAATGAACCCCAAGCCCGAAAATACTGCTCCTCCAATGCATGAGAAGTGACCTCAGGCCAAAACTCTTGAGGGTAGCGCTGGCGGCCGGGAGCTCAAATCAATTGTGTTTTTTTTGTTTGTGCGTCATCTTTATTTCCTGTAGCACGCAGAATCCGGACCCTTCAGTAAAGCAGGGTATGAGAGCTTGTGCTTCGGATTTCTTTTGCCAGAAATCTTGGCATGTGCTCTTCTTGTTTTGTCATACACTTTCGACTTGTTGGTTTTCCTGGTCATTTTGGTGCCCTGGGATCATGAACAGTGTGTGGCTTGGTGCATTGTGTTTTGTTCCGTGGATAGGCCCTTGCCTATGTTGCTGCCTGGAAACAGAGGAAGTCTCAAGTAATGTGACACTCTCTTCAATAGGTATATAGGTATATATGTATATATACATGTATTCTGTATCCCTCCCCAAGAATAGGCCCCCAGAAAATGAAAAATGGGCGTCCCCAACAAGGCTCCCAAGGTACTGAGGCCCCTGGGATGAATTCAAAGGAGATGATGTTGATTAGGTTCGGGGCCCCCAACCAAAACTTAACAAGAAGAGAATGATGACAAAACATAGCCTGAAACAATTTATGCTGCGGCCGAAACACGTTTAAGAGAGTTTCTTGGCCAAAATGAGTACAGCATCTTTTGCAATTTTCTCACAATTTGAAGTTTTTGTCATTTGTCATTTGAAGCCCTTTCTTGTCTAGTAAGTTTGGAAACTGTTTTGTCATTTTGGAATGGTTTGCGTTGCCTTCTTGAAGTCACTTCAAATCTCAGCACCGAAATTGCAGCACCCACTGAAACCATCCTGAGAAAGACATGCCATAACACAATTTCAGGTTGGCCCAAATCTGCAGGCAATAGTCTATTGTTGAGATAGATTGAGCTGCGGCTCCTCCCTCCGCTCCTCCCTCCTCTCCTCCTCATTCTGGGTTCACTCGTTCAGGCCGGGGCTTTTCCTTTCAGGCTCTAGGGCCTTTGACCGCCTGTAGTTCTTGCTCAGAGACTGAGATAGATAATTGGCGCCTGCAGCTTCTTTTAGCCACCTTACTACAGCGACTTCTGAAGCTTCCGCACACCCTGCAAAATGCCCGGTCCTGAAAGGAAAACACAGTAACACCAAGAGCCCGGGAATGCAGTTGCAGTCATGTTTTGGACTCGAAGCTTCCTCATTAGATTAGATTCGATCTCAGTAGCAGGTAGTCCACCATTAATCGACCCAGACTCTGTCTAGCATGCCAAGCTGTTGCCAAACTCTCTATTCTATGGGGTGGGTCTGTTGTTTGCAGCTGACGTGGCGTCTTTACTGGTGTTATATTCATTGGTACCCTCTTGCTTTCATTGTGGGTATTGCCTTGGCAATCCTGCATGACGTCAGCTTGAGCACTTGCGGGCATTGCAGGTCCGTCTCTCAGGCTACAAGATGCTACTGTATGCAATGGGCAGCTCTTCAGGAAATGTGTCACATGAGTAGTATTTTATTTGGAGATATTATGGTACCTAATATAGAGTAAGATTATTTCCTCCTTTGGGGTATAGTATTTTATGGTCAAGCCGCAATCTTACTGGGTTTAACCACCAAAAAAACGCCACTCAACTGAACAGCAGCCATGGACAGTAGGACTCCTCAGGTGCTTTTGGACACCATCCCGGGAACGGACGACGGTATGTCTTCATCACTGTTGGAGTTGCAGGCTTTGGGAGTTTTACTATGGGTCCAAAGGCTCATGGCTTATAAAGCAGACCTCGGGTTTTGCGGGTTGAGTTGACTGTTGAAGATGCATCCGGCTGATCTTGTGCGAAATTCGTGCCAGGTCAGTCCCGCCGATATGACTTCTTTGGCTATGTGAAACATGCTAATAATTATACTGGTAGTACAGGATGGGGGGGTAATCCAAAAAGTCAGTTTTGGTGTGTATTGCTGGGGGTATCACCACACGTACCGCTTTAGGATGCAACCCTTTAATTAAGGCTTGTGCTTGGCATCTTGAATGGGACGGTCAAAGAACCTAAGTATTGCTGGTTGTGCAAACCATGGCTGTGGAGATTTGCTGTCACGGGGAAGCACTGTGCTTGTTATGGCTTCTTTCGACAGGTTTACGTACAAACATCGGTGTCCGAATGCTGCCTCGTTACCCATTGCAGTGGCTGACTGGGGAGCATGTGTTGTGTTGTGACTTGCCCCAAAACTTACTGGTGGATAGTGCGTAATACTGGAATATAACCCCCATGTGACCTCTACATAATAGCTTCCCGTGCTCCCCTACCAACCCCAAACCCTAACCTCCATAATCTATTCCCTGATTCCGTACAAACCCCCAGTAAGAACCCCCCTAAACCCTAAACCGTAAACCCCTCAACCCTAAACCTAAGCCCATAAACTTGTAAACCCTAAACCCCTAAACCCTCAACCCTAAACCCCTGAACCCCTAAATGCTCGCTTTCTTGGTGGATTTCTTGCCAAGCTGCTTTTGTCGAAAACGCCCCACGGATTAGGGTCCTTTAAAGGGATATTTAGGGATTATGTAGGGTTACCTAGAGAATATATTGGGTTTAAGAGGCATTATGTAGGGTTATCTAGGGATCATATATTCGGCTTCATAGGCATCATGTAGGGTTCCATAGGGATTATATTGGGCTTAATAGGGTCTATGTGGTACATTATGCCAGTGTAGGTCAACAGTATGGGCCCTGAGACCCCATGAAGGGTGCTTCTCAGGGCTCTGGACTGAACCCTCATCCGTGAGCCTTAAGAAACATCCTATCCCTGAAGCCTTGGGGAAAAGTAAGCCTGAAACCCTTCACCCTGAACCCCAACCCCCAAATCCTAAACCCTGAACCTTGAACCCTAATCCCTGAACTCTACTCCCTCTCACCTCGCCAGGATCCGAAGAAGCCCAAGGCAGCGACTTTCAGCAAGAGCTTCCCATCAAGCAAGTCTGCCCCTCAATTGGGCTTCCTCTTTGCAGCTTCCATTTGTGGGAACCCAAACCCTAAAGTCTCAACCCTAAGCCCGAAACCCTGATCCTCTGCTCCTGCAAGAAGGAAACCTAAGCGAAGGACATTCCGAATAGGCCCAGATGGGGGTTGCTCCAAAAAGGGTAACCTGCACAGGCAATTTATGGGATTG